GCCATGTCGAGTCTCATGGGAATAAAAAGCTTTGTTTTTGCAAAGCAAACCTCTCTCTAAATTCGCGTCTGGCCGAGGCTTGTTGTGCAAAAACAAAGCTATTTATTCTTCTGAGTCAACAAATATCCCCACGTTAAAAGGTCTATAATAATCCTGCCGATAACTGCTCACCCGTTTTCTTGTAACGCCGTTTCTTTGAAAGTATCGGCAAACCGTCGACACTTGAAAACGGTTTCCGAATACAGTCATAATTTCTCTTACAATCTCAGTCAGTGTCTTCTCTGGGTGCTCTAGCATAGCTTCCATCATCACGAGCTCCTCACGCAGGTGCATTCCAATCAGATCCAAAGGTCTTCCAGTTTTCTTGGCCACAACTTCACCCGTGCACACAAATTTTTTTTTGAATCTCTTTACCGAGCTTGGTGACATTGCCAGCATACCGGATGTATCCTCAATGTTATAACCAAGGAACACATGAAGCCATACAGCTCTTAAACGTAAATCGTCCGAGTATGCTTTGGGCATACTTTTTTTTCCAGCAATGTATTTTTTATTGCAAAGAATAAGAATAGTAAATTATTGATTATCATGATGGAAATGAGGTTATTGTTTAAACACTACCCACAAATCCATCGGGTCTCATCGTTCACGGTTTATGCTTTCAAGGTGTCAACGTTTTTGCAATCGAGTGTATTGTAATTTTGTTTGTTCTAAGCGTATTTTCTGTTAAATACGGCATGATCACATTGATGTTGGAGCTGACTATTTTCATGCTAGCATTGAATGAGGCAGAAGGAAAAGACTCATGGAGTAATTATATCAGACATTCTTTTTTTTCTTCCTCACCTGATCAGCAGATTTATCGGGAACATGAAGATAAGAAGAAGAGGTTATATGCAAACAGGGTTTTGGAAGTTGAACATGGGACTTTTACACCTTAAGTCTTCACTACTACTGGAGGCATGGCGGATGAATGCAAGCGTTTCCACAGTAGATTAGTGGAACTCATATCTATTAAGAAAGGAGAGGAGTACAGCACAACGATTTCATGGATATGTTCAAAAGTGTCTTTCACTCTACTAAGGTCCGCCTTATTTTGCCTTTAAGAGGTTCACGCACCACTAGGCATGTCCCTCTGAACATTGAACATTGTGACTTTGAGGTTGAAAAAGAACAAGTAGGATCACTATGAGCTGTAGTTTTATGAAAATTCCATGAACTTCTCATGAAAAACCCATGAAAATCATTTCATGGCCCATGAATACTGCAAAATGAAATTTCATTGGGTTATTTTTGGCCCTGAAATTTCCATGAATTAGGGGAATTTTTTCATGACCCATGAGTTTCTTCAAAGTCTACTTTCATGACCCATTTATTTGCCGTGAAAGTCACCAGAATTAATTTCATGACCCATGAATTTCTTTATAAGCCAATTTTCATGACCCATGAATTTCTTCAAAGTCTACTTTCATGACCCATTGGTTTCCTCAGAAAGTCATCAGAATGAATTTCATGCCCATGAATTGCAATCAAACAGCATTTCATGGGCTAACAATTCATTTGTTTTGGAAGAACAAAATTAATGGGCCATTAATATTTCCTGAAATCTGTACATGGGTATATATATTGCCCATGAATTTTTATTGATGAATTCGTAGTCCATTAAAAGTGGTATTAATGAGTTCATCACAGTTACTGATTTATCAACGAGCTGACTTTCAGGCCCCGTGGAACTGACTTGTTATGAATTTATCCAGTGAGGGAATTTTGGTGTACAGCACGAAATAAAACGGTCAAATGAAAATGTCCCTAAACATCTTGAGTGGCCTGTGTCAACGTAAAAAGTACAGGAAATCACAAATCAATGTCTAAAAACAATGGATCTTCAATTTGCTCCTTTGTTGAGACAAATGGGGTTGGAGGCAATGACCCAGATGTTTGATCCTCACTTTGATTTTTTGGCACCTCTTTGCCTTCGCCATGCCTAGACAACTTTGTTGAATTTTTTTTTGCCTCACTGCTGGCTTTGATTGTTAGCCATGATTCTGGAAATCTGTTCAAGGCCTTCTCTTACATTCTTACAGCTGAGGAATCTTCTAGAGCTTTTCTGGTAAGGCACCTGCACAGTACAGATGCTTAAGTTGCACGGCAATAGTACACATTGCATCTACACGAGATGTGGGACAAAACAATGAAAAATCAATCACTTTCTCACCTCAATTTGGAACTTTGAATAGTGTGCATATGTAACCTGAAAAAAATGCCATTTTTACCTCGTTCATAGAGTCACCGGTTATCAGAGTCAGGCCATCTTCTCAGTTGCAATGAACCGTTACCTTAATGTATTCATTGACATCGCCATCTGCAACATTGTTGTCAATTTCGTGATTGCTCTCACAGAAATCACTGTTGATGTCAGATCTGGCTTTCTTGGACTCTGATGGCCTGTCTATTGCTACTTGCTTCGAATTCCAAACACTTAACAACTTTTGTGCTGCCTTATTTTGTAAGATTACAGACACAAGGACGAGACCTCTTCAGAGTCATTTAGCAATGTCGAACACAATGACCTGTGAGGTCACCATGTGACCGCTGGCCTATGATGACTGCGATGACCTAAGGTGATAGGACAGTGATTTATGAAGAAGTGGCGGTTTTTTTGTACCTCGAGTGGTACTTTTGGTACTAGTGTTTGTGTATCAGTCCCTTTTTTTCCAGATCAACTTAATGGACTGTCTGGAAAGTTTATTCAAAGAAGTTTCCTCAAGATTAGTGTGTTGATGCATTACAACATGAAGGGGTAAGTTCAAGCTTGGTCATCTCACTATGCGTAGACATCGGAGCGCGCGCACTAAATACAAGGAAAATCAGTGATAAAAATAGAGCTAAAACAACATTTGCGGAAAATTGCATACCAACTTTTTTGATTTCAGAAAGTGTAAACTGGATTATCACAATTTTGGAATCCAAAATTAATATTTATGTACAGCTGGTGAAACAAAATAAATTTTAGAGAATTCAGATTTCTGGTCATTTCTTTCGTGTGTGTGTGCTTCTACAACAGTACCAAGAAGTTTCACAGAGAGGTTAGTTCTTCAATGTATAATTTAAGTGATTTTGTATGTATTACAGTTGTGGTATATTGCAAGCTATACACTGTAGTGCAGTCTTTGGTACAAGAAAAGTGAAGATTTTTCATTCTAAATTCATGGGGTTTCCAAAGAATTTTCATGGTCCTTGCATATTCCTAACAACCCCATGAAAACCAACTGGCAATTACCTTTTATGTGCCATGAAAATACCATGGAGAGGCCATGAAAATTCAAGGAAAATTTTCATTTTTACATATTCACAGGATATTCACGGGTCATGATTTGCTGCACCCCATTGAAAACTAGTGAACTTTGACACCATGAAATTTTTTGGGCGTGAAATTCATGGGTTTCTCAGTACCTTTGAAAAGGCCATGAAATGCCATTTTCATGGGTTTTTCATGGCTTCTAGGTCACTTTACTCAATATTTCATGGGTCGTTAATATGAAAA